CTGTTATTTGACTGTGCAGGAGCCTTTTGTTGTTGCTCGTAGAACGACATGAAGGAGAAGAATTTTCCCATCATGCTTGGGTCGAAGCCAGTTTACGGATTTACGGGCGCTTTAGTAGGTCCTGTAGCTGGTCCTTGGGCAATGCCTTCTTCTGTCTGTAGTCCAGAGACCGGAGGTGGAGTAGGAGTAGTGCCGGGAGATCCGGTGGATGATCCCCCTTCCTTCTGTGTTTCTTTTTTTGTACGAGTAAAAGAAACTAAAGGTAGTTTGAGCCTAGTCTTGACTGCTCTCATACCATGTTGGACTGAACAAGCCCTTAGGATCTTTTCAATGACTGAGGCTCAGGGTAGTGATGTATTGGCGGAAGTGTTTAATAAACTGGTCAAACCGCCTTGTGCTAGTATGTGAGGCAAGATGAGTTGATAATAATGCAATGATACAGAGTTTATATATGTTTACAGGAATATTAGATACTTAACCGCTTTGTATCCAACTGTAACTGTAACCGCTAACGCGGTCCGATTCAGCGACGACTCGGATCACTGCTCAATAACGAGTCAGTTATTTGTCCTTGCTGACGTGCTGTTTTTCGCCGAGTCAAAGGTCGATGACCTTTGACCTTCGATTTAACTGCTTCCAGTTGTCGCATTGTGAAAGCTCACTTAGTCCTCTTGCAAAGGCAACGTGCTTCATTCCAAATGGGGCCTCTGAGGCATGTGCATTCTTGGCCGGCGGTATCTCTCAATTGACTGCTGGTGCCTGGTGGGTGATGGGGCTGCGGATGTGGCCTGCAGCTGGGTGGAGAGGTGATGAGAGTGGTCTTGGGCAATGGTGACGTAGATTTCCTTTGCGCCATCGCTTCGCCATCGGCCCATGCGTTTGAAGAGCCGATCAGGAACTCCTAGGCTGGCTGCTGCTGTGTCGCTGCAAACCCTTCCTAAAGGAGTGGGTCCCGATGTGCGTGGCATCCAGTCCCCCCTTGCTGCAAGCCTCGAGGCACCAATTTCGGATGGTTGGGTAAGAGGGTGACTTGTCGTGCAGCGTCGCTTGTGCCCCTTTGGTAAGCACCCGTATCAGTGGCCCGTGAGGCATCATTTGCGAGGCCTGCGATTGAATGAAATTCCTTGTGCATCTGACTGCACAATTGGCCCTGTAGTCGCCGCCACCGGGATCCAGGTGCCCCTTCCTACTTGGTCTGTCTTGGAGTACGGGATGAGGAGCCACATCGCCTCTTCCTCGAACTGTATGTCATTCCATTGGAGGGAGATGAGGTCGGAGAAGCGCAAGAAAGCTGCGAACATGAGGAGAGGGAACAAACCCTTTTGATATTCCGCGGGACTGCTGATTCAAGGAAGGGTCGTGCCGTGTCGTGCACCTGGTGAAGTGACACTGGCTCCTTGGTCCTTGTGGGCCGAAGGCCATGTCGTTTGGCAACTCTCTCACTTGCAGGGTGAGTGGGCGCTAGTGGGGGAGGTTTTGCTTGTCACCCGATGGGCGAAGGCCACCGCGGAACATGTGAGGCTGATTGTTGAGATGGTTGCCTTGTTGTTCAGCGCGTGGATGAGGTAGAGTGCTAGCGTCAAGTCTGTTGCTGGTAGGAACGTGTGTGCTTGACTTGAACACATTAGTTTCCTAAATTTCTGCCAATATGGCTGGTAGTTTTCGATTGTAGATGGTGCACGGACATTATGGATGACTCGCATCAACTGTTGTTTGGGCTATGTGGCAGTCCGAGTCCAGAGAATGCTGATGCATGTGAGCCTGGTCTGAGGCAATTGACTTTCGTGGGCGAGTGGTAGGTAAGCCACCACCTCTGGGGCCCATGTCTGTGCCCACTGGGGCACACTCAGCATCATCTCGGTCTACGTACGCTTAGCGTGACTAAGCGTAGCCGGGATTAGGTTGAGGGGTGGAAAAGCGAAGCAACGTTCGCCCGTTCCAAGAGATCGAGAATGCGTCGATAGCGATGGCGCCTGGATGTCGTATCTTGGAGCAAAACCGTTCCAGTTCTTATTGTGGATGTTTGCGAATAGGCCAATTGTATGGGGTCCCCATCGGCGTTCCAGGAGGCGAAACTAGGGTGCATGCAAGGAATAATCGTCGTGATCCTGGATCTTGGAAATTTCGTCAGCATGGGCGTTCAGCTCCCTCGGGATCCATTCAATCGCCAGCCGGGTGCGATTTTTGAGACAGAACTGTATGATTGCTTGGCATGTCCTTGTTAGACGGGGTTGGTGGGACCCCCCTTTGGGCAGGAGATGAACATGACTCCTTGGTTTCTACGCGGACGAGGACATGGTCTGTTAACGGGAGTGAGTGTTGGCCCCGCCCTCGCTTGGGCAACGCCGACAACTTGGTCGGATGTACGGGAGAAGCAGCCGACCGTTCGCAGTGAAGGAGCTGCTCGACAGGCCCTCTGTCGAGCTGCAGGGGTTCGCTGTGGTGTTGCCGTCGACCAGGGAGCTGGATAGCTGCAACTGGACTGGTCTGGGCGACGGGCGGGCCGTCGATCAGGAGGGCAGTTTGACCGGGAGTCGACGGAGCAGTCTGTCGACCTGCAGCTCGACCGGGCGGTCGTCGGAGCGGTCCGTTGATCTGCAGTTCGACCGGGAGGTCGACGGAGCAGTCCGTCGACCTGACAAGTAAGCAGCGGTTGACGAGGGATCTCTGCGACATCAGCTGAGAGATCTGGTCGACGGAAGGGTCCGTCGACCAGGGGAAGCTCGACAGGAGCTGTGGTCGACCGAGGGACCTCGTGGTCGACCGGAGGCACCTAGTGGTCGACCGGGGGATCTCCTGGTCGACCTGGGGCACCTGGTGGTCGACCGAGGGACCTGGTGGTGGTGTCCAGGTCGACCGGGTAACCTGCTCGACGAGTTCTGCGGAGGCACGCGAACGTCATCGAGGTCGCGATGGCGAAGGCAACTTCGAGCGATGGCTGGTATCCCGAAGTTGATGTGGCTCGTCAGGCGTAGACAACAGCCGACGGATGCCCAACAAGGCAAGTCGGGCCAATCGTCTGCGCGCATCTGCGAGTGTGCGTACTACTGTCTTCTACGGGGCAATGCTGGCCAGCCGCATTGCTGCAGCATTGGCACGCCGTCGACCTGCAGTGTTGGCAGGTCGCTCTTCTGCAGTGCTGGCGCGACTCCTCTACGCAACGCTGGCAGGCGGTCGACCATGCGGTGCAGGCGGTCGACCAGGCTAGCTGCAGAGTTGCTAGGTGCCTGATGTAGTCATTCTGTCATTGCTTGTTGAATCATTCTGGAATTCGTCTCGTCGACGTCCTTCGTCGACCGCCCACCTCCGCTACCACCTCCGCCCGGCTTCGCGTGTCACAGGATCAAATTTCCACTCGAGAATGTTGCACTATAGGTGAGTACAAGGCGTATTTATACTCAGAAATACATAGAAACAAGCGATAATCCGAACCTTCGGGAACGCGCTCTTCTAGGATAGATAATCACTAGTGCGCATAAGCACGCAAGCCCATTGGCACATTGGATTATGGTGAGATTACGCCTTGTACACCATGTTAAATTGTAATGTGTTATATGTTGGTAGGCTGTAGTGGGGTAGCCAATATGGGGTACATTCCCAACTAGGGTTTGCTACTTGTACCCAACTGTTTCATTCAATGCATTCATTCTTGCCTAGTTCTTCTAACATGGTATTCAGAGCAGGAGGTCCCTAGGACCTACCGACCGTTTTTTTTAAGGGCCCACCACCGCTCGCATGCGGTTACTACGCTACCCCGTGCCCTAGCCTCGTTAGCGCCCTCGTGCGTCCTCGTTAGCGCCCTCGCGCGCCCTCGTTAGCGCCCTCGCGCGCCTCTCGTTAGCGCCCTCGCGCGCCCTCGCTAGCGCCCTCGTGCGCCTCTCGCTGGCGCCCTCGAGCGCCCCTCGCAGCGTCGCCGCCCGCCGCCGCCGCCGAGCCGCCCTCTCGCAGCGTCGCCCGCCTGCCGCGCTGCCCGTTTTGCAGCCCGCCCGCCGAGCCGCCTGCTCGCAGCGTCGCCCGCCCGCCCGCTGCCCGCTTGCAGCGTCGCCCGCCCGCCTGCTGCCCACTTGCGGCGACGCCCCGCCCGCCCGCTGCCCGCTTCGCAGCGTCGCCCGCCCGCCGCGCTACCCGTTCGCGGCGTCGCCCGCCCGCCTCGCTGCCCGCTCGCAGTGTCGCCCGCTCGCCCGCTGCCCGCCTCGCAGCCCGCCCGCCTCGCTGCCCGCTCGCAGCGCCCCGCTCGCCGCTGCCCCCTCGCAGCCCGCCCGCCGCGCTGCCTGCTCGCAGCGTCGCCCGCCCGCCCGCTGCCCGCCTGCAGCGTCGCCCCCCGCCCGCCCCCCTGCCCGTTCGCAGCGTCGCCCCGCCGCATCGCTGCCCGCTGCAGCGTCGCCCGCCGCCCGCCCGCTCCCGCTTGCAGCGTCGCCCGCCTGCCCGCTGCCCTCTTCGCAGCCCGCCCACCGCGCTGCCCGCGCCGCCGTGTCGCCCGCCCGCCCCGCTGCCCGCTTCGCAGCCCGCCCGCCGCACTTCCCGCCTGCAGCACCGCGCTGCCCGCTTCGCAGCCCGCCCCCCGCACTGCCCGCTCGCCGCGTCGCCCGCCCGCCGCGCTTCCCGCCGAGCTACCTACCTGCAGCGCTGCGGCAGCTTCCTTTGCTCAGTCGCACTGTCGCTATGGCTTCCATCCGCGTGCTGTCGTTCGATACTGAGGGCCGCCCTGTGAAGTTCGCCACTTGGCTGGATGACCTGCAGCTGTTCCTTCTGAGCGATAGCAAGGAGCATGTGTCGCTCTATGATTACGCTGGTCTGCTGCACCTGCCCCTCCTGCCACAGCCGAGCTTAGTGTTCGTTCCCACTGGCAGACTCGTGACGCAGCTGCTCGCCTAGCCATTCGCAGTCACCTGCCGCTAGCTGAGCTCGAGCATTTTGGCGACTGCAAATCCGCTAAGGCCCTGTACGATGCTGTCGTTGCTCGCTACTCCTCGCCTGCCACAGCCGAGCTTAGCCGCCTCATGCTGCCGTACCTGTTCCCTGAGCTGTCCACCTTTGCTACAGTCGCCGATCTTATCACCCACCTTCGCACTAGTGATGCCCGCCTGCGTGCCGCCCTTCCCACTGAGTTCTGCGCTAAGAATCCCCCTCCACTGTACTGGACACTCCACTTCATAGTCACCCGTCTCCCTGACACCCTCAGCTCAGTTCGAGACCACTTCCTTGCTCGCTGTCCCACTGAGCTCACAGTCGCCCTCCTAGAGGAGCACCTGCTAGCGGCCGAAAAGAGCATTGTAGCTGTCGGTGCTGCTCGTGGCGCTCCTCGCACCCCCATCTTTGAGGGGTGTTCTCCCTCTCCCCTCGCTCCCTCCTACGCTACTGCTGCTGCTGTTGACTTCCTTGGTGCTGAGTCTGCTGGCGCTGCTTCTGCTCCTGGTGGGAGGCGCCGCACCGGCAAGGGCAAGGGGGGCAAGGGTGGCGGGGGTGGCGCTGGGGGGGGAGGAGGTGGGGGAGGTGGGGGGGGAGGCGGTGCTGGAGGGAGCGGTGGCGGGAGCGCTGGTGGGAGTGGGGTCGGCGGTGGAGGCGGGGGCGGCGGAGGGAGCGGTGGCGGTGGTGGCGGCGGCGGCGGTGGCGGCGGCGGCGGCGGCAGTGGCGGTGGCGGCGGTGGCGGTCGGAGCGGTGGTAGTGGTGGCGGCGGAGGTCGGAGTGGAGGCACTGGCTCGGGCCAGAGCTCCCAGCAGCAGCAGCGTCCCCAGACGACCCAGCAGCTTCGTGAGTGGCTTGCTCAGCGTGGGACGTCGGGGGGCAGTGGCCGCTGTTCCTATGTCATTCGCACAGGTGACCGCAAGGGGCAGACGTGTGGGAGGTTCCACACCCAGTACCGCTGCTTCTCCCGCCTTGACGACGCTTGGCGTGAGGAGATGGGCGAGGATGTTGAGCGCCCCCGCTGGGCTGAGCTGATGAGGGCTGGTGTTGATATCTTTGCTCTTGACTATGATGCTATTATTGCTGCCATATATGCATTGACTGTTAGTGCCGAGGGAGACTGTTACTTGTGTGTGCCGCCTGACCCAGGTATAGAGCCCGCTGCCCTGGCCACTAGTGAGTCTGCTCTCTCTGGTATGGTGCCCCCTGTACTTGCTCCCTCCAGTGCTGTCCCCGCTGTTTGCGAGTCTGCTCTCTCAGGTACAGCACCCACAGAGACTGCTCTCTCAGGTACCGCACCGGCTGAGGCCTGTCACACCTTCACCCTTGACTCAGGTGCTTCCCGCTGTTTCTTTCGTGACAGTACTCACTCACACCGCTCCCTGCACCGGTCCCAGTCTCCTTGGCTGACCCCTCTGGGGGCCCAGTCCTTGCCCAGTCCACCACTGTCCTCCCTTGTCCGGCGGTTCCGTCTGGCTCGTTGTCGGGTTTCCACCTCCCCTCGTTCTCGACGAACCTGGTGAGCAACGCTGTCATCCAGGATCAGTGGGTTGACACCTTTACCCCTGGAGGACAGCGTGTGGCGATCTGCACGTGCTCCAGGACCGGCCGTCACCTGGCTACGTTCACCCGTCGACCAGGGTCGAGTCTCTACACACTGACACACTGTCCACTGCGTCTCCTCAGGTCGCTGCTGTCGGTCAGGTGTCCGCGTCAGGTCTGGTGGCCCACGCCTGTGAGTGTCGTTCCCTGTCGCACCAGACTCTTCTCTGGCACCACCCCCGCCTGGTCACCCCTCCTTGCCACGCCTCCATGGCATGCACCGTCGCCACCTTGTGTCTGGTTTCCCAGGTCCCTCCTCCTCCCTCCCCTCCCTGCCTCGCCTGCGCCGCCTTGCCTTCCTTGCGTCGAGGGGCGGCAGCGCGCCGCTCCTCACTCCTCCTCGTTCCCCCCGACAGAGGCTCCTCTGCAGACCCTCCACCTGGACGTGTGGGGCCCAGCCCGCGTTCGTGGCCAGGGCGGTGAGCGGTACTTTTTGCTGGTTGTTGACGACTACTCGCATTACACCACGGTCTTCCCCTTGCGCACCAAGGGTGAGGTCCCTGCTGTTCTGATCCCTTGGATCCGCACAGTTCGTCTCCAGCTCCGCCGCCGTTTCCGGACGGATCTTCCTTTCCTGCGTCTGCACTCTGACAGAGGTGGTGAGTTTTCCTCCGATCTCTTGAGGACCTTCTGTCAGGCGGAGGGCATCGAGCAGACCTTCACGCTTCCGGACTCCCCACAGCAGAATGGGGTTGCTGAGCGCCGCATTGGCCTGGTCATGGAGGTCGCTCGTACCTCCTTGGTTCACGCGGCGGCTCCCCATTTTCTGTGGCCGTTTGCTGTCCGGTACGCCGCGCATCAACTCAACCTCTGGCCCCGTGTCTCCTTGCCGGAGACCTCGCCCACACTGCGTTGGACGGGGGAGGTTGGCGATGCGTCGCGCTTCCGGGTGTGGGGTGCTCGTGCCCTTGTCCGCGATACGTCCGCGGACAAGCTCTCCTCCCGCACACTTCCCTGTGTCTTCCTGGGCTTTGTCCCTGACGCGCCGGGCTGGCAGTTTTACCACCCCACCTCGCGCCGGGTCTTCGCCTCTCAGGACGTCACCTTTGACGAGTCGGTTCCCTTTTACCGTCTCTTCCCCTACCGCACTACCCCCCCCCTCCTTCCCCCCCCGCCGCTTTTCCTTGCTCCTGGTCCCCCTCCGGTAGACCCCCTTCCCCCTCAGGGTCCTGCTCCTTCAGGTTTCTCAGGTCGACCCTCCTCCCGTCGCTGAGCCTGTCGAGGTCACAGGTGACTCAGGTGCTGCTGCAGGTGGTGCTGCTGGGAGTGCTGAGCCTGGGGGTGCTGAGCCTGCGGGTGCTGGGCCTGGGAGTGCTGGGACTGCGGGTGCTGGAGCTGAGGGTACTGTGCCTGAGAGTTCGGCGCCTGGGGGTGCTGAGCCTGGGGGTGCTGCGACTGGGGGTGCTGAGCCTGCGTGTGCGGAGTCTGGGGTGCTGAGTCTGGGGGTGCTGCGCCTGCGGGTACTGAGCCTGGGGGTGCTGCTACTGAGCCTACGGAGCCTCGGGTTGCTGTGTCTGGGGGTGCTCCGGTTCGGGGTGCTGAGCAGTCTCTCACGCCGCAGCAGCTTCGTGACTGGTACGTCCGGCGCTTTCGCCGTCCTAGTGGCTCGGCTGGAGTTGGGGGTGCTGGAGCTGCTCGTCCTGGGGGTGCTCGTACTGGGGGTACTGGAGCTGCCGGGACTGGTCGTTCTGGGAGCACTACGACTGGAGCTGCTGGAGCTGGGGACTCTGGAGCTGGCGGTACTAGTGGAGTTGGAGCTGCCGACTCTGGGGGTGCTCTTCCTAGCGGTGCTGCGGACCCTGGGGGTGGTGCTGCTGCTGGTGCTGCGGACCCACCTGGTGGGCCTGCTGCTGGAGCTGAGGACCCGAGCGGTGGCGCTGCTGCTGGTGCTGGGGACCCGGACGTTGGAGCTCCTGCTGGTACTGAGGACCCGGCCGCTGGAGTCTCTTCTGCTTCTGCGAGCGCTGGCGCGGCCGCGGCCGTACTTCGTACCGCTCCTTCAGCAGGTTCTTGGGCAGGCTCCTCCTCCTTGTCCTCCTCCCTCCGTAGGGTGTCTCCCGCCTGTCCAGCCACAGTCACAGTTACCTACCTACCTCACCTCTCCCTGCTCCCTCTCCTTACACTGGTCCCATAGGAGGTCTTACAGAGCGTCGTGAGCCTGAGTCTCGTCCTGCGTCGCCTGTTCGCACTGCTCGCACTGGTCGTCGTGTCCGTCGTGAGCGTCCTCCTCCTGTCCCAGGCACTCACTACATGACTCTGCGTCCCTCTACTGCTCCTCAGCGTGTCCCTCTACCGTCTCCTCCTGCGTCCTCTTTGCCTGACGTTCCGGACCCTGAGTCTGACCGGTATCGTGCTGAGCACCCTACTGTCACGCGTCTCCTAGCTACTGTTTTCACTGACCCTACCTTTGAGTCCTCGGCTGCGTCTGCTCTAGTCGCTGAGTTGGTTGACTTTGCTGCTGCCTGTCGTCTAGACTACGCTGCTAGCCTTGTTGCTGAGCCTGCGTCTGCGTCTGTCTGTCCTCCGTCCGTCGGGGTGAGTGTGCTCTTGGCACGGACGTCCTTGAGGACAGGCAGGAGGACTTTGACTCTCTCGCGGCTGCTGTACCTCATCTCGTGGCCTGGTTGCTTGCCCCTGAGGGAGACCCGGATGCACTAGACATCCCCACTCCGCGCACTTACGCAGAGGCGATCTCGGGTCCCTACTCCTCTCAGTGGCAGACAGCCATGGACGCAGAGATGGCATCCTGGAAGTCCACAGGCACCTACGTCGACGAGGTTCCCCCTCCTGGGGCGAACATCGTCGATGGCATGTGGATTTTCAGGGTGAAGCGGCCGCCAGGTTCTCCGCTTGTCTTCAAGGCTCGTTACGTTGCTAGAGGCTTCAGTCAGCGTCAGGGGGTCGACTTCTTCCAGACCTTCTCCCCCACCCCGAAGATGACCACTCTTCGGGTTCTGCTGCACGTTGCTGCTCAGCGTGACTACGAGCTTCACTCTCTTGACTTCAGCACAGCGTTCCTGCAGGGCAGCCTGCACGAGGAGATCTGGCTGCGCCGCCCACCTGGCTTTACTGGTCGTTTCCTCCTGGTACCCAGTGGAGCCTCCGCCGGCCAGTCTACGGTCTCCGCCAGGCGCCACGTGAGTGGCACGACACACTGAGGACTACACTTGCGGCTCTTGGGTTCGCGCCGTCTACTGCTGACCCGTCGCTGTTTCTGCGCACAGACACGTCGCTGCTGCCGTTCTACATTCTCGTGTACGTCGACGACTTGGTCTTTGCTACTGCTGACACTGAGGCACTCGCTCGTGTGAAGTCGGAGCTGCAGAAGAGACACACCTGCACTGACCTGGGTGAACTGCGTAGCTACCTTGGCTTGCAGATCACCCGGGACAGAGCTCGCCGCACCATCACCCTGACTCAGTCACACATGGTGCAGCAGGTCCTTCAGCGCTTCGGCTTCCATTTCTCCTCACCACAGGCCACACCTCTGGCTACCAGCCACTCGCTCTCAGCTCCACCTTCGGACGAGTCCGTAGAGCCGAGTGGCCCGTACCCAGAGCTTGTAGGCTGCCTCATGTACCTGATGACTTGCACGCGACCTGACCTCGCGTACCCTCTTAGCATCCTTGCTCGTTACGTTGCACCTGGGAGACACAGGCGAGAGCACTGGGAGGCTGCTAAGAGGGTGCTGCGTTACTTGTGCAGTACATCAGGCATGGGGCTGGTGCTTGGAGGACACGACAGAGTTGTCCTCACTGGTCACTCGGACGCTTCTTGGGTGGACGACCTGGCTACGCAGCGGTCGTCAAAGGGTTACACCTTCAGCCTTGGCTCTGGTTCTGTCTCGTGGCGGTCCACCCGCTCTTCCTCTGTTCTCGGCTCTAGTTGTGAGGCTGAGATCTACGCCACAGCCATGGCTGCACAGGAGTTACGCTGGCTCACCTACCTGCTGACTGACTTGGGAGAGCGGCCTAGTTCTCCTCCAGTTCTGTACGGTGACAACAAGGCGGCTCTTGCCTTGTGTCAGGAGCACAGAGTGGAGCACAGGACAAAGCACATTGCTCTTCGCTACTTTCTTGCTCGAGAGCTTCAGCAGCGCGGTCAGCTTCGGCTTGTGTACGTGGACTCGAAGGCCAACACTGCTGATATCTTCACCAAGGCGCTCCCGCCTAGTGATCATCAGCGGCACTGTACTTCTTTAGGCCTTGTGTCCACGTTTCCTCACTTGCTCACTGCTTGACATTCTTTGTACTGTACTTTATATATATATCTTGTTGCTTGCTTGCTAGGTTTTGATCACTGTGTTGCTTGTGTTGTACTATATCTAGCACTGCATGTGAACTGGCCTTGTGGCCTTTGCTTGTGCTCGGAGTGTGGTGACGTTGTGATCCACCCTGGGCTTGCGTTGCTTTGCTGGACTGGTCTTGTGACCCTTTGTTCTCCCCCACTTTGCCTATGGGGGTGTGTTAAATTGTAATGTGTTATATGTTGGTAGGCTGTAGTGGGGTAGCCAATATGGGGTACATTCCCAACTAGGGTTTGCTACTTGTACCCAACTGTTTCATTCAATGCATTCATTCTTGCCTAGTTCTTCTAACACACCACTGTCGGTGCTGTCGGTGCCGTATAATGTAATTGTCGGTGCCGAAAATACAAATAAGTGAAATAATCGGAAAGCTCTAGAAAATAGAATAGTAGTCCGATTGAGGTGAAATAAAGTGCAAATGAAAGAGGAGAATAAGAAGAATAAGATAGAGTAAAAATATGGACACGAGAATATGTCGAACGTCGACGTACTCTTACACTTCCCCCCCTCAAAGCTGGGTGGTAGACGTAACACCCTGCTTGACAAGATAGTCGCGAAGAGAACGTCGGGCGTTACTCATGTCTTCTTCAGAGACCCAGCTGTCCTCGGAAGGATCATAGCCCTTCCAGCGTATGAGAAACTCCAGGGCGCCATGCCGACGACGACGATGTGCAAGCACGGATTCGACCTCGTACTCAAGTTCATCATTCACGAGGACTGGAGGCGGCGGCGGAGGTTGGCGTCCCGTGTACAGCTTATTTGGATCCCGATAGGGTTTAAGAAGCTGCACGTGGAAGGCGTTATGAATCTTCCAACTAGCTGGTAGGCGCAAGCGGAATGTGACTGGAGTGACCTGCTCTTCTACGAGGAAAGGTCCGCAGAAGCGAGGTCGTAACTTGGATGGAAGGTGACCGAGGTTGAGGTTGCATGTGTCGAGAAGCACATGGTCACCAACCGCAATGGTATGATCACGTCGATGGCGATCGGCCAAGCGTTTCTGTGAAGACTGTATGTCCTGTAGACGCTTGTGTGTCCGATCCCAAAGCTGCTGCATTGTGGTAACGAAGTCGTGCGCGGGTTGGACAGTTGCAGGTACTGTCGGCTGTTGAGGAGTTAGCGGATGTCGACCGTAACAGAGGAAGAATGGGGTCTCTCCTGTTGCGGCATGCTTTGCATTATTGTAGGCGAACTCCAACACCGGCAAGTGCAAGTCCCACTTGTTAATGTCGTCCTTGCACGCTGCGCGCAAGAGTTGTTCCACAATTTGGTTCAAGCGCTCTGTCTGCCCATCGGTCTGGGGATGATATGCAGATGACATCGCTAGGCGTGTCCCCATGAGCGACATGAGCTCTTTCCAGAACTTGCTAGTAAACTTGGGGTCCTTGTTGGATATGAGCGTTGTTGGGATCCCGTGCTGTGAGATTATGTGTTTGAGGAATAGCTGTGCCGTTCCTCCGTGCGTGCGGTTGTTGTTAAACTGTATTATGCTTGTAGGCTGTAGTGGGGTAGCCAATATGGGGTACAACCCCAACTAGGGTTTCATATTTGTACCCAAACTTCTGCTAGTTCATCCATTCTTGCCTAGTGATTCTAACATGGTATTCAGAGCAGGAGGTCCCTAGGACCTACCGACCGTTTTTTTAGGGCCCACCACCGCTCGCATGCGGTTACCACGCTACCCCGTGCCCTAGCCTCGTAGCGCCCTCGTGCGCCCTCGTTAGCGCCCTCGCGCGCCCCTCGTTAGCGCCCTCGCGCGCCCCTCGTTAGCGCCCTCGCGCACCCTCGTTAGCGCCCTCGCGCGCCCCTCGCTAGCGCCCTCGCGCGCCCCTCGCGCGCACCCTCGTTAGCGCCCTCGCGCGCCCCTCGTTAGCGCCCTCGCGCGCCCCTTGCTAGCGCCCTCGCGCGCCCCTCGCTAGCGCCCTCGCGCGCCCCCTCGCGCGTCGCCCCGCCCGCCGAGCCGCCCGCTCGCAGCGTCGCCCGCCCGCCACGCTGCCCGCTCGCCCCTCGCCCGCCGCGCTGCCTGCTCGCAGCGTCGCCCGCTCGCCCCGCTGCCCGCTTCGCAGCGTCGCCCGCTCGCTCGCTGCCCGCTCGCAGCGTCGCCCGCCCGCTTCGCAGCCCGCTCGCCCCGCTGCCCGCTTTGCAGCCCGCCCGCCCGCCCGCTGCCCGCTTCGCGGCCCGCCCGCTTCGCTGCCCGCTCGCAGCGCCGCCCGCCCGCCCGCTACCTGCTTCGCAGCGTCGCCCGCCCGCTTGCTGCCCGCTCGCGGCTTCGCCCGCCCGCCCGCTGCCCGCTTCGCAGCCCGCCCGCCTCGCTGCCCGCTTGCAGCGTCGCCCGCCCGCCCGCTGCCCGCTTCGCAGCCGCCCGCGCGCTGCCCACTCGCCGCGTCGCCCGCCCGTCCCGCTGCCCGCTTCGCAGCCCGCCCGCCGCACTTCCCGCCTGCAGCGCCGCCCGCCTCGCCTGCTGCTCCCTGCCTGTGCACCGCCGCTTGCTCCTGCTGTGGCTGCTAGCTTCGCTCTAGCGCGTCCCCTCTGCTGCTGCCGCTGCTCTGCTGTGCCCTCACGCCTGAGCTATGGCCTCTATTCGCGTTCTTTCCTTCGATGCTGAGGGCCGTCCCGTGCAGTTCACTTCCTGGCTCGACGACCTGCAGTTGTATCTTATGAGCAATAGCACGGACCACATCTCCCTCTATGACTACGCGTCTGGTGCTGCCGCTGCTCCTGCTGCCACAGCCGAGCTTAGTGTTCGTTCCCACTGGCAGACTCGTGACGCAGCTGCTCGCCTAGCCATTCGCAGTCACCTGCCGCTAGCTGAGCTCGAGCATTTTGGCGACTGCAAATCCGCTAAGGCCCTGTACGATGCTGTCGTTGCTCGCTACTCCTCGCCTGCCACAGCCGAGCTTAGCCGCCTCATGCTGCCGTACCTGTTCCCCGATCTGTCCACCTTTGCTACAGTCGCCGATCTTATCACCCACCTTCGCACTAGTGATGCTCGCCTGCGTGCCGCCCTTCCCACCGAGTTCTGCGCTAAGAACCCCCCTCCACTGTACTGGACACTCCACTTCATAGTCACCCGTCTCCCTGACACCCTCAGCTCAGTTCGAGACCACTTCCTTGCTCGCTGTCCCACTGAGCTCACAGTCACCCTCCTAGAGGAGCAGCTGCTCGCGGCCGAAAAGAGCATTGTAGCTGTCGGTGCTGCTCGTGGCGCTCCTCGCACCCCCATCTTTGAGGGGTGTTCTCCCTCTCCCCTCGCTCCCTCCTACGCTACTGCTGCTGCTGTTGACTTCCTTGGTGCTGAGTCTGCTGGCGCTGCTTCTGCTCCTGGTGGGAGGCGCCGCACCGGCAAGGGCAAGGGGGGCAAGGGTGGTGGTGGTGGCGCTGGGGGGGGAGGAGGTGGGGGAGGTGGGGGGGGAGGCGGTGCTGGAGGGAGCGGTGGCGGGAGCGCTGGTGGGAGTGGGGTCGGCGGTGGAGGCGGGGGCGGCGGAGGGAGCGGTGGCGGTGGTGGCGGCGGCGGCGGTGGCGGCGGCGGCGGCAGTGGCGGTGGCGGCGGTGGCGGTCGGAGCGGTGGTAGTGGTGGCGGCGGAGGTCGGAGTGGAGGCACTGGCTCGGGCCAGAGCTCCCAGCAGCAGCAGCGTCCCCAGACGACCCAGCAGCTTCGTGAGTGGCTTGCTCAGCGTGGGACGTCGGGGGGCAGTGGCCGCTGTTCTTATGTCATTCGCACAGGTGACCGCAAGGGACAGACGTGTGGGAGGTTCCACACCCCGTACCGCTGCTTCTCCCGCCTTGACGACGCTTGGCGTGAGGAGATGGGTGCGGATGTTGAGCGCCCCCGCTGGGCTGAGCTCATGAGGGCTGGTGTTGATGTCTTTGCTCTTGACTATGATGCTATTATTGCTGCCATGTATGCATTGACTGTTAGTGCCGAGGGAGACTGTTACTTGTGTGTGCCGCCTGACCCAGGTATAGAGCCCGCTGCCCTGGGTACTAGTGAGTCTGCTCTCTCAGGTACAGCACCCACAGAGACTGCTCTCTCAGGTACCGCACCGGCTGAGGCCTGTCACACCTTCACCCTTGACTCAGGTGCTTCCCGTTGCTTCTTTCGTGACAGTACTGAGCTCACACCGCTTCCTGCACCGGTCCCAGTCTCCTTGGCTGACCCCTCTGGGGGCCCAGTCCTTGCCCAGTCCACCACTGTCCTCCCTTGTCCGGCGGTTCCGTCTGGCTCGTTGTCGGGTTTCCACCTCCCCTCGTTCTCGACGAACCTGGTGAGCAACGCTGTCATCCAGGATCAGTGGGTTGACACCTTTACCCCTGGAGGACAGCGTGTGGCGATCTGCACGTGCTCCAGGACCGGCCGTCACCTGGCTACGTTTACCCGTCGGCCGGGGTCGAGTCTCTACACACTGACCACTGCGTCTCCTCAGGTCGCTGCTGTCGGTCAGGTGTCTGCGTCAGGTCTGGTAGCCCACGCCTGTGAGTGTCGTTCCCTGTCGCACCAGACTCTTCTCTGGCACCACCGCCTGGGTCACCCCTCCTTGCCACGCCTTCGTGGCATGCACCGTCGCCACCTTGTGTCTGGTCTTCCCAGGTCCCTCCCTCCCCTCCCTGCCTCGCCTGCGCCGCCTTGCCTTCCTTGCGTTGAGGGGCGGCAGCGCGCCGCTCCTCACTCCTCCTCGTTCCCCCCGACAGAGGCTCCTCTGCAGACCCTCCACCTGGACGTGTGGGGCCCAGCCCGCGTTCGTGGCCAGGGCGGTGAGCGGTACTTTTTGCTGGTTGTCGACGACTACTCGCGTTACACCACGGTCTTCCCCTTGCGCACCAAGGGTGAGGTCCCTGCTGTTCTGATCCCTTGGATCCGCACAGTTCGTCTCCAGCTCCGCCGCCGTTTCCGGACGGATCTTCCTGTCCTGCGTCTGCACTCTGACAGAGGTGGTGAG